GCCCGCCGGGCGGGCTCCGACCTGGGCCCGCCCCAGGCCGAGTCCCCGCGTGTGCCCGGGATCCGTAGCCCCCCGCAGCTCGACGGCCGGGCCGGCCCGGGCCGGCGCACGAACCCCGTGGCGACAATAGCTGCTACTTTTTGAATGAGCCTCCGCGTGGCGTCAGTGCTTATTAGCATTCGCGGCGGCCATTGGCCAAGGCTGGCCCGTCTTCTCCCTGATTGGGCGAGAGGCCACCAGCCTGGTTTGATTTTCCGGCTGAAAGGTCGGCGCCGCGGGTGCTCCCGCCGCCTTGCAGGGGGTGGGGGGGGGCCGGGGACGCGCGGAGGCCCATTGCTGGCGGGGCGGAGTCCGCCCGCTCCTTCTCCCTCCCAGCCTCACGGAGTCAGGGAGGGACACCCGAGGGGACCCTCTTCTGCTCCCCACCCCCACCACACCAAACCTCTCGCCGCGGCTCAGACCTCTCCCGGATTGGCTGCCCCCCCAACCCCTCCGAGGGGCGGGGCCTGGCGCCCAATGCAAAACCTGTCCCCAGGTGGCCTCTTGGGATAAGGCTAGGGAGCACACCCTCTCTAGGGACCCAGTTTTCCCCTCTAGCTCTCCCGGGCGCTGTTCGCTGAGGGTCTCGGGCACAGACACCAGCGACTCTGGGGCCTCTTTCTCTTGCGACAGTCGGGCCCCAAGAGGATTGTGGGCTCCAGCCAGCTGGGCGCTTCCCCTCACAGAGGCCTCTCTGTCCCCACTGGTGCTAGTCCCTCCCCCGGTCCCTGGGGACAGCCTGGCCTTTCCTGCCTGTTGCAGGACAATGCCACCTTTTCCTGTGTCCCCAGATCCCCATCTGGTGACCATCTCTCCTCGGCCCCCAGGTCCTCGGCTCCAGCCTCTTCCTCCGTCTGGCCGCCCCCTCCAGCTGCTCTCCCGCGGCCTCCTCAGGCCAGCCAGGCAGCCCTGCGTCCCCTGGATCCTTTCTCTGCAGCCAGCCCCGGTCCCGGTCTGGTCAGTGTGGGCGGGGCCAGGGCTCAGCCTGCTGCCGGGCCCTGGGGCCCATCTCGGGGCTGCACGGTAGGACCCTCCTGAAGCCAGGGAGCTGCCCCGGAAGCTGTGCCCGCACCGTTGCCTGTCCTCCAGGCCCTGCCCTGGCCCTGTGCGTCCCTCCACGGTCCTCGCAGGCATCCCGCGCCACGAGCACTGTGTCACTGAGCGTTCTCAGGTGTCACCTGCCGCTTGCTAGGCAGACCGTTTGTTGTCAGGGATAGATCAGCGAAGAGTCTCCGGACACCCCCTCCAGACGCCTGGCCCAGGGCTCTCCTTGGCCCCCGGGCTGGCCTCCCTCCGGCCCATCTCGGGCGGCCTGCCTGCCGGGGCCTCTGGTCCCAGGGCCCCACGGCCCTGGCGCCTGTGTGTCAGGCTACAAGGGCGTTGCCCTGGCCAGGGAGTGTCCTGGGGCCACTTCTCCCCTGGGGTGACCCATCAAACCCGGGGATGTTTTGTGGAGGGACCTGGGAAGCCCCCTGGAGTCTGGTCTGCTCCTGCCTTCCCCTTCGGTGGCAGGACCTGCCAGAGTGGCAGGAAGCACCCTCGCTCTTTGCCCGACAGTTCCCCCTCCTGTTACCGAACAAAAGGACTCGTGGGGGGCGGGGGTGGTGCCCAGGCGCTGTTACGGAACGACACCCCCCTTCCCCGGGATACCTTGGTTGTGGGTCCTTTGCCCGCTGCCCTTGGAATTATGGCTCTGAATGGCAGAGTTTGGTGAAAAGGAAAGGAACTATTTATTCAAAAGTTATACAGGTTTGATTAATGGCTAAATGTCACCCTTAAACTTCAAAACAACCACCAGCACACAGACCGTCCTGCCTTCCCCGCTTTGCCCAGTCAGGCCAGTCAGTCACCGTCCCTCAGAAGGAAAAGAACAGAGTCCGAGGCTCGGCTGGGCAGGCCTCCCGCGGGCCTCAGCACCCTCCGCTGCGTCGCCGCGATCTCCGGCTCTTACTCCATAACCATGCGGCACCTTCTCCCGGCCCACGAGCCAGAGTCCTTTCTCCCCTCTTTCTCCCCGCGTGGCCTTCACACTGTTCCCCAGAGTCTGTGTCCCTTTGTCCCTCCTGCAGGCCTCTGTCTCTCCTCTTTCTCTCCCAGTTACATTCTGCAGTAAGTCTTTAAAACCTTCCTGATTAGCTTTGGTGATATGCAAAATAACCCTCTTTGCATATGAAGAATGAAGCTTTCCTGTTATTGACATGCAGAATGACTCTCAACGGCCCTGCTCAAGGCTCCCATCCCCCATGGCAGCCCGCCCTGGGGTGGGGAGAATCTATTTTTCTGGGACACCCCCATCTCGGGACCCCGTTACAAATACCCTTTGGGGGGGCCCTGGCTGTGCCCCGTTACACCCCTATTCTGCCCCCAGCGCCCCTCTGCGGCCCTCCCTGCCTGCTCCTGGATGATCCCGGGGCGTCCTTCAGAGCTCCGCGCGGATGCCTGACCCATCCCCGAAAGCCAGCCTAGGTGTCCGCGCTCTGACCTTCGAAGCCCGGGGCTGCTTTCTCCTTGCTAAGGTGGCTGTCTCCCCTTGAGTCCCTGTGCTTTTGGGGAGCAGTGTGGGGCCACCCCAAGGCCTGGCCCACAGTGGGTGCTCAGTGGATGGCCGGCACAGGGGAAACCTCATCCTGGAGGGCACGGCAGAAACGTCACCCTTGCGTGGGACGCCGGGCCAGAGCGAGGGCCGGGGACAGCTCTGCGGGGTTGGTGCAGGTGAGGGGGCCAGCGACCAGCAACCAGCAGCAGGCGAGGCCGCCGCAGCTCCAGACGGTGCGGCCAGCAGAGGCCTGGCCAGGCTGGGGCCCGAGCCCGAGCTCGCCGTGCCGAGGGGTGCGGACGGCAGCCCCACTGACCTCTGGCCGCGAGGTTCCTCGAGGTCAAGGCTCTGGAGGAAGGTACAGAAGAAACTGGAATGGGTGCCAGCGCGGGGTGGGGACCATTCCCCGCCCCCAGCCTTCCAACCGGGCCCAGCACTTCTCTAACTTCACGGCTTTCCCCTTTGCTGTTGCCTGAGGGGGCCACTCAGAGCCCCCGGCCAGGCGGGTCCCCTGCGGACCCTGGACTTTTGGAGGCACCCATCCTGGTCGTAACTACATTCTCGCTGTGCCAGCCTGGCGCGTCCTGCAGGTGGGCAGGGCGACAGGGCCCTGGGCCCTGCTCCCCTGAACCCTTTGATGAGGTCCTCAGACAAAGGGACGGTGTCTCCGGGGCCACAGCGTGCCTTTGGCAGGTGCCTCGCTGGCACGCGCTGCCTGTCTGCAGCCCTTCTGCCGGCGGGGCCTATTCCTTTTCTCCTGGTTCTGCAGGTGCCTCTGGAGACACGGTCCCGGCTGTCCAAACCTGTGTGACCACAGGCCCGCTCCCACCTGGAGGCAGGATGCGGGGTTTGCCCTGACCCAGGCAGCCCCGACTTCGCGTTCTGACACCCGCCTTCCAGGGCAAAGGGCAGGGGCGAAGAGAGTTCCCATGGACTCTGTCCTGGGTGTGGGGGCCGCTCTGCTGGTCCCCGCCTCCCACACACGCCTCTCCCTGCAGCATCTGCCGCAAGCTGCCCTTCGACGGCCAGGAAGTATTGGACCGGACGCGTCGCTCACCCATTCGCTCACTCACCCATTCGCTCACTTGCTCATTCGTTCGTCCGTCTGTTCGGCAAGTGCTCCCAGGACGCTCGCTGGGGCCCAGGCGCCGTGCCGGGCTTGGGGCCCAGCCCTCGCCGCGCCCCCCCCTTCAGAAAACTCGAGCGCCCGCCTCCTGCGTGTTGGGCCCAAGTCCAAGGACAGGCAGGGCCGTGAGCCGCGACCCCCGCCCCGCGAGGGGTTTACTTCTGAGCAGGGTGCTGGGGTCGGGCAGCAGAGTGTGCAGAAAGGCAGGAAGGGACAGAGGAGGGCGCAGGGTGCCCTCTGAGGGGACGCGACCAGGGAGGGCCTCCGCAAGGAGGGGACGGGCGCAGAGGCCTGGCAAAGCCCAGCAGGCGGTCACGGGACGTTCTGGGGAAGGAGGCCGTCCAGGGGCAAAGGCCTCGAGGCCGGCCTCCGCCCATCCTCGGAGGGAAGCCCCGCGGGCCCTCAGAGCCGCCGTGGGCTGCCGGGGGCTGTGGAAGCCGCCTCCGCGCCCAGGCAGCGCGCACGCGGGCGAGCGGCTCCGTGAGCAGAGGGAGGTGCAAGGCCCCGGCAGAGCCCGCGGCAGGAGGAGGCCCCTTTTCATTTCGAGTCTGAAACCGCCTCTTTTTTTTAACCACATGCATGTATGACTTTTAGATGTAACGAGACCAGTTTCTAAAAGAACGTTCTGTCCCCAAATGACTGAAGATACTTGCATACTTGTCACAAGGAAAGTCACAAACAGCAAGATATTTTAAAGCCTGGTAGTTAAAATAACAAGGCAGGGCTAGGCGCCGCTCCTGAGCGGTTCTGGTCACGAGGCCGGGGGAGGAGGGCTGTGAAGGATGCAGGGTGGCTTTCTGGGGCGTTGGTGACACCCAGACACCTAGCCCTACTGCTGACCTGGGTCCATCCTCCGCAGCCCAGCCCAGCCCAGCCCAGCTGTGAGTCTGGCCTCTTCAAGGCCGATGACCCAGCTGCCAAGCGTCCTGGTTAGGCTCAACCGTGACTGTGAGCAGGGACAGACTCTAAACAGCCCCTCGGGGAACCAACCCCCCACCCCCACCCCACCAAGGCAGCGAGCAGAGGTGGTCTCTTTGAACTGAAGTCAGTCCTCGTGCACCCCGGCTACGGGGAAGGGTTCCCCAACTCGAGGCGCCCCGGTCCCAAGCCTCGGAAGTTTCTGGCGCCGGGGTCTGGCTCCTCCGCCCCCGGATAGCCGGCGGTGCGGGTGGGGCGGAGTCGAGGCCGCAGCTAGGCCCCAGCTCGGGGGCAGGCCCGGGGCGGGGCGCTTGGGCCAGCAACGCCTGCCGGTCCCGTGACGCCGGTCGGAGTTCCCGAGTCACGAGTGCCAACGGGGCCGGCGGCGGCGGAGACGGCGACATGGCCTCGGAGCAGGACGTGCGCGCACGGCTGCAGCGCGCGGGCCAGGAGCACCTCCTGCGCTTCTGCGCGGAGCTGGCGCCAGGGCCGCGCGCCGCGCTGCTGGCCCAGCTGGAATCGCTGGAGCCGGAGGCGCTGCGCGAGCACTGCCAGCGCGCGGCCGCGGCCTGTGCACAGCCCCCGGGCCCGCCGCCCGACCTGGCCGCGCGCCTGCGTCCCCTGCCCCCGGAGCGCGTGGGCAGCGTGAGTCGGAGCGACGCGGAGAGGCGGCGACTCTGGGAGGAGGAAGGTAGCAGGGCGGGAGGCCTGGGCGGGGCGGGGGTCCCGGCAGCGGAGCGCTCGCTCCTGGCCCGGCCGGAAGGGACCGTGCCCACAGACCCGGGTGGGAGGAGAGGCGAGGCTTGGAGAAGTTTAGTTTGTCCTAGTACTTTGTGCAGCCTCCTCTTTTCTCACGTGCACAAGTTCGCGACTGCGGTGGGGAGCCCCCAAACACTACTGGCAGCCGCCCGGGAGAGTGAGTGCTTTTTGTGCGCGCCCAGCTGGCCGGCGCCTAGGCATATTTCAGCAGGGGACCCCTTGCACACTTGCACATGCAACTTTGCCCCCTGTCCCCTCGAAGGGGCCAGGTGGGGGATGAACCTGGGAGGATATCGGCAGGACCTCTGCAGGGTCCCGGCGAGGTTGGGCCTGGTTGGGGTCTGGGCCCAGGCGAGAGCACTGTTACCTGGAAATTTCTGGGGGCTGTCCGAAGCCTCTCCCAGGCGCAATCTCTCGCCTTGCTCTGAAGAGAAGGGGTGGGCCCAGGAGTCTCCTCACGGCACCCCTGCCCCCAGGTTTCCGCCAGATCGCGCTGAACAAGGTGGCCGTGCTGCTGCTGGCTGGCGGGCAGGGCACTCGCCTGGGTGTGACCTACCCCAAGGGCATGTACCGGGTGGGGCTGCCCAGCCAGAAGACCCTGTATCAGCTGCAGGCGGAGCGGATTCGGCGGGTGGAGCAGCTGGCCGGGGAGCGCCACGGGATCCGCTGCACCGTGCCCTGGTGTGCTCTCTGCATGACCCCGGCCCCGAGTGATCCCCCCCCCCGTGTGTAGCCCCAGCCCTGCCCCACAGCGAGAGCTGAACCCCAACCCCTGCAGAGCCCTGCACAGAGCCCAGCGCCCCCCAGACAGGCCCGACGCCAGCCCCCGCCCGAGCTCCCGGAGGCGGGCTCAGCCTTGCCTGCCCCCCTTGGCAGGTACATCATGACGAGCGAGTTCACTCTGGGGCCTACGGCCGAGTTCTTCAAGGAGCACGGCTTCTTTCACCTGGACCCTGACAACGTGGTCCTGTTTGAGCAGCGCATGCTGCCCGCTGTGACCTTCGATGGCAAGGCCATCCTGGAGCGGAAAGACAAGGTGGCCATGGCTCCAGGTATGCCCCAGCGCTGGCCTGGCGCAGGGAGCTCTCTGGGACGGGCCGGAAGGTGCCACCGGTGGGTGTGGGGGGGGTGTGGTTCTGGGAGAGGCCCGCCCCTCCCGGTGTCCGGGCCTTGAGTTCCGTCCTCAGGGCTGCTCGGACCGCGGGAGAGGTGCCTCAGGCACGAGGTCCAGCCCCGGGGGGCCTCCCGCTGCCAGCAGTTCCGGTGGTGGGGACGCGCGGCCCGGGCGGCTGCAGTGCTCACAGGGCGCACCCCTTTCTCTTCAGACGGCAACGGGGGCCTGTACTGCGCGCTGGCGGACCACCAGATTCTGGAGGACATGGAGCGCCGGGGGGTCGAGTTTGTGCACGTGTACTGTGTGGACAACATCCTGGTGCGGCTGGCGGACCCCGTCTTCATCGGCTTCTGCGTGTTGCAAGGCGCGGACTGTGGCGCCAAGGTGAGCCCCCCCCCCCCCCGCGCCCTCCAGCCGCCGACACGGTGCCCCACCCTCGACCCGCCGGCCCCGCCCGTCTGCCCCGCCGCCGGCAGACGCAGATGCCCCAGCCCCTCCGTCGCGGCCGCAGGTGGTGGAGAAGGCCTACCCCGAGGAGCCGGTGGGCGTGGTGTGCCAGGTGGACGGCGTCCCGCAGGTGGTGGAGTATAGCGAGATCAGCCCCGAGATCGCCAGCCTTCGCGCGCCCGACGGGGGCCTGCTCTACGGCGCGGGCAACATCTGCAATCACTTCTTCACGTGGAGCTTCCTCCGGGCGGTCACGCGGTGCGCAGTGACCTGGGGTGGGGATGGGGGCTGTGGCGAGGCAACGGCCGGTGGGTCGGGGTGGAGAAGGGTCCTTGGCGTTTAAAGGGGCCGGAGTAGCTGCGGCCGGGGCGGCCCGCTCCTCCTGGGGCCGGGCCCGCGGCCCCTGCACCACCTCCGCCTCCCCTGTTGCCGTTTCTCCGGGGCCGGGATGACGGTGCCTGTGCCCTCGCCCCCCTGGAGGCCTGGCTCAGCTCCCACCAGCCGGTGCCCTTCGGGCCCGTCTGCCACCGGCCCCACCTGCCCCGTCCAGCGGGGCCTCCTCGGGTGCCCCATCTGAACGGCTTCTGTCTCCCCAGGGAGTTTGAGCCTCTGCTGAAGCCACATGTGGCTGTGAAGAAGGTGCCGTACGTGGACGAGGAGGGGAACCTGGTGAAGCCGCTGACACCCAACGGGATAAAGATGGAGAAGTTCGTGTTCGACGTGTTCCAGTTCGCCGAGTTAGTGGCAGGGGTCCCTCCCGTTCGGCGGCGGCTGCGTTGGGGGCGCAGTGGGAGTGCCCCTTTGCAGCGGGGAGCGGGGGACGGCCGGCGGAGCTCGGGGAGAGGGCCAGGGGACGCAGCCCGCCGAGGGTGGGTGTGTAGGGAGCATCGGGGCTGTGGGCTTGGGGGGCCCCTCCAGAGCCCTCTGTCTGCTGTTTCCGGGTCGTGGGCTGGGGGCGGCCAGGGTGTTTGGCGCTCGCTGCGGGGCCGGGTTTGGTGGGCGGGGCCTCAGGCAGTGCCCGCTGCCCCTCCGCAGGCCTGCGCTCGCCTGCCCGGGCCCAGGGCCCGCACGCCAGCCCGCCGGGTCACCGGCTCTCTCCTCGCCAGGAACTTCGTGGCCTTTCAGGTGCTGCGGGAGGAGGAGTTCTCCCCGCTGAAGAACGCCGACCCGGCCGGCAGGGACAGCCCCACCACGGCGCGGCATGCCCTGCTGGCCCAGCACCTCCGCTGGGCCCTGAAGGCGGGGGCCCGCTTCGTGGGCGCCCACGGCACCCGGCCCCCGGAGCTGCCCAGGTGAGCGTGGGCCCCAGCGCCCGGCCCGGCCGCGAGACGGCCGCCGCCGCCCCTGGACTCCGCCCCTCCAGGCTTGCAGGGCCCCCCGCCCCCCGAAGGTGAAGGGTGGCCGTCAGGGCCAGGGAAAGAGAACGTGGGGTTTCCCTTCCTCCGGCTGTTCACAGCCACTGCCTGCGTTGGCGGTCCAGGCCCAGCGAGGGGCGCCCGCGGGGGCGGGGGGCCCAGGTTCCGGCCCAAGTCGGGGCCTGTCAGTGGGGCGGCGGCCGTTTGCTCAGGGTGCTGGGGAGCCAGGGGAAGAGGTCACCGGGACGAGGACTGCGCGGAGCCGGGCATGTGGTGGTCCGCCCGCAGGGCCAGGGCAGGGCTAGGCCCCGGGATGGGTGGGGCCGGGCGCCGGCCGGGGTCCAGACCCGCCGAGCCGGCGCTGACGAGGGGTGTCCCTTGGCCTCTCCGCAGTGGAGAGCCTCCGGTCGTCTGCGAGATCTCGCCGCTCGTGTCCTGCTTTGGAGAGGTGAGAGCCGCCTGGCCGTCCGGGGCTCTTGGGGGTTTTTCTGGGGTCAGGCTGCATGAGCAGCGGAAGACCGTCTGGGGAGCCGTGGGGCTTGGGTGGGAGGTCGCAGCTCCGCCTCACTTGACCCACGAGGTTGCGGGGGAACGGCAGGGGCGGGGCGGGGGGGTGTGTCCCTGGAAGGCCCTGGGAGGGGCGGGGAGGGCGAGGCGGGCCCACGGAGCAGTGGGCCCGCTGGGTGGGCTCTGGCCTGGGCCTGCCGGGAGCGCTCCTCCTGGCCTCCGGTCTCGAGGTGGCATCTGACCCGTGCTCCTGGGAGCCTCCCCCAGCACCTGGCAGAATTGGGGTCCCTGCCTGGGGACGAGAAGTGGACGCTTGACTCGTTTTTAGGGCCTGGAGGAGTACTTGCGAGGCCGGGAGTTCCAGTCCCCGATCATCCTGGACAAGAATGGGGTCCGGGCGTTGGATCCCTGACTGGCTCCCAGACCCGCCGGCCCCTGGGGTCCGTCGGGGTGTGGACGTGGCCCTGCCCCGCGGCTCCGGGCAGGCAAGCGGGCGGCTGCGTCCTTCTGCGCCCTGGAACATAGGAGGGGGAGCCCTGGTTTCCTCCGCAAGAGCGGGACCTGCTCCGTCACCAGTCCCCGAAGACACAAGTGACCCCACTTCTCCTGGGAGCCAGCGAGGGCTCTGCAGCTCCTGTCTCGCCGTGGCCGTGGGCCGGTGAGGGACTCCGGACCGGACCGGACCGGACCGGACCCGGGGGAGCCCTGGCCACGCCCAGCTTCTCTGCAGGTGTGCAGGCCAGCGAGAGCAGGGGGCGCCGTGCCCTCTTCCCGGCAGCTGAGCCAGCGACTTGGTGAGGCTGGGGTCACAGCCCAGCCTGCCAGCCGAGGCCAAATGCAGAAGGGGCCCGGCTTGGCACGCGAAGGGACGGCCGCACTGGCGGGGAAAGCACGGCCCGCACCCCGCGGACCCCCCTCGCGCTCCGGAGGGCTGCAGCCCCGCCGCCCTGCTTCCCCGCCTGTGGCCTGTGTGGGCGGCTGAGCTGTGGGGGCTTTCCCCAGGCATCCTGGGACCAGCGGCCCGGCCTCGTGTCATGAGCCTGGAATGGAACTAGATGAGCCTGTGGTGGCTCTGATCTTGGTGCTCCCTCTCCTCCCTGCTCCGTGGCAGGCAAGGGCGCAGCCTCCGCACTTGGGGCCATGGCCCCTCCGTGCGCCCTGCAGCCTGGCCCGGGCTCGGGGAAGCCAGCTATCCCTGACCTCTTGTCCTGGCTTTGCGGCTCTGGGTCCCAGCGCCTCCTGTTCCTCTGGACATAGCACGGGGGCATCTACCTCCCTGCTGACGCGAAGACCAGCGTACAGTGCGGCCCGGGGCTAAACCGGGTCCCCTGCCCCTCCCCTCCGCTGCCACCCACAGCCTGCAGGGAACCCCCTGGTTTCCCCAGGGCAAGGGTGCTACCAGGATGGTGGGCTCAGGTGCCACTGATCCCTCCAGGGGCTTGGGGAGGACCCTGCCTGCATCCGTGCATCCCAACCCGAGCGTGATGGCAGAGTCCCAGCCGTGCCCCGGTCTCCCGGTTCCTCATAAACCTCGAAACCAGACTGTGTGCCCCAGGAGCTGCTCCTCCACTGGCGAGCCGGGGGGCCTAGGGCAGAGGCGGGCCTGCCTGGGGCGGGGGACCCCACTCCAGGGTCCTGCCCAGAGCGTTCCTCGCTGCCAGAACTGGAACACGGGGCCATCTCTTTTCTACGTGGTTTGCTGGGCAAACTTGAAACGGCTCACTTTTTTAAAAAACATTTTCAAGTAATTGTATCTTCATATAAAATTTCAAGCAGCACAGAGGCGCCTGGCACCCTTCACCATTCCCCGCCATGTCTGTAGCCTGTGTGATTCCAGGGCACCGCCACGCCCGGCCACGGCAGGGGACTTGGTCGCTCCTCCCAGCTGCGTGTCCTGTGTCCGCTCTGCGCTCAAGAGGCAGGATGGTCCCATCAACAGAGATCTTCATGTTACCGCCCTAGCCACCCCCCCCGCCTAACGCAAGACGACTACTGAAATAGTTGCACTTGAAGTATCGCCAAAGCTGAATTTTCACAGAAGGTGGGGGCGGGGGCGTTGCTCATGGAAACTGCGTGTGAGATCGGCCCCTGCCCTGGGAGTGCCGTCTCTAACGAGTGTGCGGTGGGAATTAGTAGGGAAATGGGACCCACTCTACGGTTCTTCTGACACTGTTACTGTAAATGCTGACCCTAACATGTAGCTTGTAGGTGAGCAGCACATTAGTATAAGAATCCTAGGCACTAACTTCTAAAGGTACAGAGCTTCAGGCCTCCCAGCCCCAGGTTGCTGACCTTCACCCAGGGGCCCAGGATGATGTGAAGCTGTGTGACACACCAGGGCCCCCCCCCACCCCAGCCTCATCGGAACGGCCTGTGTGGGTCTTCGTGCGGGGAACTTTCCCACCTCTCCTTGATCTCTTTGTTCGGTTCCCCCCTCCTGCCTTACAGACACGTCTGTCTCCACACAGAGGGAGATGGGCTTTGAGGCGTGAGTCCCCCGTCTGCCCAGGAAGGAGGGCTTTGAGGCGTGAGTCCTCCATCTTCCAGGTGGCTGGCATCTCAAGCCACGTTACTTACTGGCCTTTGTAGTTCCAGGCAGCAGGGCCTGCATTTGGTTACAGAAAACAGGCCTTCATAGCTCTGCCAGTCAAAGGCGGGAGCCCACCCACTGAAGCGAACCTGCTCCGGGCTGATCAGGAAGCCCCTCCTGCTTGCTCTGCCCACCTCCCTGCCAGTCGGGGGGACCTGCGACAACCTTGGAGGGGGCAGGCCCAGAACTTGCCGCTTGAACCAGGTCTCCAGGATGGTCTCATGCCCTCCAGCTCTGACAGCCTGGTGACTGCCCCCTTGTGCACTTGGATCCTCCAAATGCCACCGTTTCCCTGGTCACCGGTCGCGCAGGGAGGATGCCTGAGGGCCTCATGAAAACTGCCTGTCGAGTTGTGCGTGGGACCAGACCTGCTGGGGCCTGGGAGATGGCCCCTAGGAAGGAGCAGGGATAGGAGGGCAGCCGGGGCTCCCTGGGGCAGGTTCAGCGGGCCGGGTGTGTGGAGCAGGGCGCGCACAGGGCGGGGAGCCCCGCAGACAGACACCCAGACAGTTGACAGTCACGGCTGTCGGGAGCACCCTGAGCTGAGCAGGCCCCAGCAGCACCAGGCGGCTCTGCGACTCGGGAAATTGCCGTGCGCCCCAAAGACCAGAATGTCCGATCGGTGGAAACTCAGGCCGGGGAGGGGGGTGGTCGCCGTGACGGTTATACAGGTCCACGTGGCCGCCCCCACCCCGCACAGGACCCTGGTCAGTCTGGCCCGGGACGCAGACGGGCTCCAAGGCCAGGAAGCGCGGCGGGGGGGGGGGGACGGGGACCCCGCCCCCGAAGGCCAGGCCGGCCCACCTCCTAGTCAAGGCCACGCCCACACTCGGCGCGCAGGCGCCGGAGGCCGCTTGCCACAGGGGTGTGAGGTCACCGCGCAGGCGCGGGAGCTGGGAGACGCAGGTGCCTGGAACGTAAACACGCGCGCAGGGGCAGCGAAGTTGGGCGCACGCGTAGTGGGGTTAAGAGGGCGCGGCGCACGCGTATTGGCGGTGAGCGCGATGGGCGGGGTGTTGCCGGAGCTGCGATGGCTGCCCGCTGCTGTGCGAAGAACGGAGCCTCTGGCCCCTCTCGCAGGCCGGCCTCTTGACGCCGCCAGTAGGCGCGGTCCCCTGGGCCGTTTCTGCGGCTGTCATGTACCCGCCGACGCCGCCCGGGCCGCACCGGGACTTCATCTCGGTGACGCTGAGCCTTGGCCAGAGCGACGACGGCAGCAAAACCCGGCGGCGCCGCTCGTGCTGGCGGGTGAGGGTCGGTCCCGCAGGCCCCCGGGGTCTCCGCCCGGCGCGCTGGTCCCGACCATGGGGCGCAGCTCCCGGCGGCACCGTCCGCGGGGGAGGGCTCCGGGCGGGGCCGACGCACCCCTAGCGGGTCTCCGTACGGCCTCGCCGCCTCCGCCCTGAGGTTCCCCGGATGAGTTCTCTCCCGGTGCGGGGAGCGTGAGTTCGGCCACTCTAACGCCCGGTGCGTTCCGGTGGTCTTGGGCCGCGGGGCGTCCACACACTGCATCCGGGCAGGTGCAGGTCTAGCGGAGCCAGAGCCCGAACGCGCGCATCGGAGCCTTTCTCCGCTGCCTTACGTGCTGGACAGAGGTGGACCCTGCGTCCGCTTTCATCCTCCTCGTACCTGTCCCTGGGCATTCTGTCACCTGCAGTAAGACCCCAGCCCGTCACCCCACTGCGAGGGAACTGTTCCCGGTCCAGAAACAATACAGCTGCACACAGAACCTTCTGAGCTACTTATAGCGCTGAACTTGTCACAGTGGAAGAGAATGCCATTTGTGTTGTTTTCAGTAAAAAGTGTCACTTTCCGTCCCCTCCCCGCCCTCCCAGAAATGGAAGCAACTGTCGAGATTACAGCGGAATGTGATTCTCTTCATCCTGGCGTTTCTGATGCTCTGTGGGCTCCTGTCCTACATCAGCGTGGCGGACCAGTGGAAAGGTACCCGCGCCGTGGGCGCCTCAGGCACCCAGCGTCGACTAGGCAGAGGCGATCTTGCCGCCCACCTCAACCAGCCCCCAGAGCCGTAAAGGGCAACGCGTGGGTGAGAGATCTGGCTGAGAAGGAGCGCGGAGTGTTTTCAGCGCGTACCGCGCCCCCCCCCACGCCCCCCGCTGGAACGCAGATGTTAACGTGATGGTCTCTGACTGCCCGCTGCGTGTCCGCTGTGGGGCCGCACCGCCTCTGCCCTGAGAGTCAGCACTCACTCGGAGTGTGTCTCCTGCATTTTGTAACACATGCTGCACTGTGGTTTGGCAAGGACCAGGCAGCGAGTGGGTGCAAAAGCAGAGAATCCTCTCCATTCCTCCGAGCTTCCTGGAGAGGAAATATTGAGGAGGAACGTCTGGGGTGGCGGATGAGGACAAAGATGGCCAAGTGCTTCGAGAAGGTCGTCGTTCTTGAACGCACTTTGGTGACTTCCCAAGGCCTCAGGGCGTCCTCTGTTAAAGACGGCACCTGCGTAAGGTGTGTGCTGTAAAGCGCCCTCTAGCCCGGGTGGCACATCTGAGTTAACAGGTTCTCTTGTTTAGCCCCGAGTGGCAGGTCAGCCGAAGAGCAGAGGGCGAGGCCAGCAAACCCGCCCGTCCTGCCCGCTCCTCAGAAGGCAGTCGCTGACCCAGGGATCGGCCCGGGGCCGCCGCCTCAGGTACCACCAGCCAGCTGCCCCGGGGCAGTAACTGGGCTCGGTCTCAGAAGCACCGGAACAGTGCGTGAGAGGCAAACCAACGGGGGAGAAGGCTTTTTCTTGCCACCTGCCTGGTGTTTCAGCCTTACTCCGTAATCCCGGGCTGGTTGGACGGCACCTGGGGGAGGAAGGAGGCCCGTCGTTTCCTTCCTTCTCAGCTGCACACCTGCCGGGCTCCAGATCTTGGGTTAGGGCATAAACAAAGCAGACCCGCCCCTGCGCTCCCGGAGCTGCAGGCTGGTGCGAGAGCCAGGCGGGGCGCCTGCGCTTCCTGCCAGGACGGGAGCAGACACCTGCAGAGGAGCCTGGGCCCTGGGGCAGGACGCCCTCTTGAGGACAGGACGCAGAACTGCAGTCTGAAGGCTGAGGAGCCCCTGGCTCTGGGCGGGGTCTGGGGCAGGGCCCGGCCCAGGGAGCCGCCTGAGGCTTGGGTTCAGCTTCTTCGGGAGCTGAGATCAGCAGGGCCTGGACGGGAAGGGGCAGCTGAAGACACTTGAATTGTCCTCACGAGTGACTGTTCTGTTTGTCCAGAAGCCTCAGAGGCACGTCCGGCGGGGACCCCCCAACCTGCAGATCAGAGCCCCCAGCAGAGACTTGCAGGCCGGGAGGCAGGGCGGCGCCGGGAGGCGGGAGGCGGCTGCGGCGGACGGGGCGCGCCCGGAGCGCAGCCCGCAGAGCACGATCGTCAGGTACGGGAGCCGCAGACGGGGCGGAACGCCCGGAAACGCAGCGTCTTGTGTCTGAAAAAGAGGGAAGGGGAAGCAGCGCGTGGCTGACGTCCGTCCTCCTCCAGAAGCGGGCAGCCTGCCCCGCCGAGCCTGGCCGGGGGCGTGGTCAAGGGCCTGGCTCCCGGCGCCTGGCGTGGAGGGGCCTGGGCCCCTGCGCGGCTGACGGCCCCTCTCTCCCTGAAGCTGGCGGGGAGCAGTGATCGAGGCAGAGCAGGGCACCGAGCTCCCTTCCAGAAGGGCAGAGGCCCCCACCAGGGCCCCCTCGCAGGCCCCCAGGATTCTGAACCAAGCAGGTAAGGCCCTGCCTGCGCCCTGCGGGGCCGGGCCTGGGGGTCCTGACGGGGCGGGCGTGGGCGGGCGGGGGTGCTGTGCCGCTGGTCCCTCCGAGGCCGATCTCTGCGCCGCGCCCAGGTGGGCCCTGGCCCTCGGGGTCATGTGCTCTCCAGAGGTCCGGCTGGGACAAGGGGCCCTGGACGTCGTCCTGTGTTGTGGGCTGTGGCCCCAGGCGCGTGTGCGTGGGGGTCCATCCTCCCGTCCCTGTCTGGTCCAAGAGGGGCCTGGGGATGTGGGGGCCGAGCCCCTGGTGTCACCCGGGCTTGGGGGCCACAGGCAGCGGAGGGGTCCCCGCATTCAGGCCCCAGGAGTTGGGGGCCTGCTGGGTGCTGGCGCTTCCACAAAGGGTGACGAGGGAGCCCAGAGCACAGGCTGGGCCTGTGGGGCCATAGAGCGATCGTGCGGCCTTGAGCAGGGGTAGCAAAGCTGCGGGTGTCACGAGGGGGCCACCAACCCCACGAGAGGACGTGTGGCGCGAAGCCAGCAGCACGTCTTCCTGGACCCTCCCCCCGTGGGACCCTCCCCCCACGGGACCCTGCCTGTGCGGAGGGCAGGCCGTCCCCGGTGCACGGTGTGCGCGGCCGCAGGGCCTCCTCTTGGAGATGCCGGGCGCAGGTCTGTGAGAGAGGAGGTGGCCTGGTCCCCGCAGCTGCACCTGTCACGGTCGATGCTCCCCACGTGCTCCCTGTGGCCCCACGGGCGCACCCCAGAGGGGGAGTGGACGGGACCGGGCGAGGGGGACGTGAGTCTGAGCTGTCACGGGCGGCCCCCGGGGCCTCGCCCCCGCGGCAGCCGCAGCCGCGTCCGGCTCTGAGGGCCTGGCCTCCGGGGCTGTGCCCGGACCCCTGTGCTGCCCGCCACCTGGGACGGCGTCTCCCAGGTCACTGGCGTCCCTGCCTGGGGGCCACAGAGGGGCCCCGTCCTCTCTGACCGGGCCCGGGTCGCCCTGACCCGCGTCCTCCCCCCAGCGCCCCCCAACGAGCGCCAGAAGGCCGTGATCGAGTCCTTCCGCCACGCGTGGGCCGGGTACCGCAAGTTCGCCTGGGGCCACGACGAGCTGAAGCCGGTGTCCAGGTCCTTCAGCGAGTGGTTCGGTCTCGGCCTCACGCTCATCGACTCCCTGGACACCCTGTTGATTCTGGGCCTGAAGAAAGGTACCTGCCGCCCTTACGCCCGCAAGGTCCCACCTGCTGTGTCCGCACACGTGGGTTCCCTTTCCCTCGGTGAGGGAGTGGGCGCGCTTGTTGTGGGCACTTCCCCGTGTCCTCGCGTCCAGACGCTTGGGGCCCGAGGTCAGCTGCCCGGGCCCGGCCGAGAGCGAGCCGGGGCCCTGGGCGGGCCGTCGCCGTCGGACGACGGCCCCGTGGTGAGCAGTGGCGCGTGGTCTGCCGCAGCCGCCGGCCCCGGAGCCGGTCCCTGGGGTCCGCGAGTGCCTGCCGCACAGCTCGGGGCAAACGGGCATCGCTGTCCTCAGCTACTCCTACGCCCGTGTTCCCTGGAAAGGCTGAGGATGGTCACCGAGTCACGTGGCCCTCGTGCCACGACCTCCGATTGTCGACCCCTCGTGCCCACAGCCGGGTGTGGCTCCCCAGCCGCACGCCGGCCTGTTTAGGTTCAGACCCGAGTGTTCGGGGCTCGTGCCCTCGCCCCCCCCCCCCCAGGAGAAGGATGGGCAGGGGAACGCACGTCACGCCGGGATGGGTTCCGGGGACGCTGGGCCTGTGAGCGTGTCCTCTGCCCTCTCCCGTTTCACGTCCTAGAATTCGGAGAAGCCAGGAGGTGGGTGTCCAGGAAGCTACGGTTTCAGAAAGACGTGGACGTCAACCTGTTTGAGAGCACCATCCGGATCCTGGGGGGGCTCCTGAGTGCCTACCACCTGTCCGGGGACGCGCTGTTCCTGCAGAAAGCCGTGCGTGTCCCGGCCCGGCGTGGCCCTTGCCTTTGGGGACCTGGGTCTCTAGTGCTCACCCAGGGGTTCGGGGGCAGGGGGTGTTTCCACTTTCTGCCCCTCCAGTGCATTTGTTTGGCCTGCTGTGAGCCGAGCGGCGCGGCGTGTCCCCCTGCCACCGCAGGGACGAGGCTCGGAGCGCGCGAGCCCAGCTCACTCCGCCGCTGGGGGGCTGGGGCCTCGGGAAGCCGGCGGGCTCATCTCTGTCCTCGTGATTGGGGGGATGTGGGTGAGGGGTCCGCCTCCTGCAAGGCAGATGTGGCCTCTGAGTGGCATCTGACAGCGGTGACCCTTTGCTGTGTGCGCCTCAGGAGGATTTTGGGAATCGGCTGATGCCTGCGTTCCAGACACCCTCCAAGATCCCGTACTCGGACGTGAATATCGGCACTGGAGTGGCCCACCCACCCTGGTGGACATCGGACAGCACGGTGGCCGAGGTGACGAGCATCCAGCTGGAGTTCCGCGAGCTCTCCCGCCTCACGGGAGTCAAGAAGTTCCAGGTGCGGAGGCTCTGGCCCGGGGCAGCGGGAGCCGGGGTGGTGGGCACGGGTGCTGCCCCCCACGGCCGCTGCCTTCTCTGCACGGGCCTCCCGTGTCCTCGCCGCTGCTCGGGCCCAGGCCAGGGCACTGCGCGGCCTGGCGGAGCTGGCGGCTCGTCACGCAGGTCTCGGGTGGCCCCGTGGCTGCGGGTCCAGGGCCGCCTCTGTCACAGCTGCGTGGGGTCGAACGTGTTGATGTGCCGGCACCGCAGGCAGTTTTGTGCTGGTGACGTTGTGGCTGTCCCACCAGCGGCCCCCTGGGGCACTGCAGTGGCTCATGGGCTCGGGTCTCCAGGGACAGCACTGGGCCTTGTGTCGGCGGGTGGAGCGAAACGTCGTGTCTGGCCCTTCACGCGCCCTCTCCCCTCTGCCCAGGAGGCCGCGGAGGAGGTGACCCGGCACGTCCACTCCCTGGCCGGGAAGAAGGACGGGCTGGTGCCCATGTTCATCAACACGCACAGCGGCCTCTTCACCCACATGGGCGTGTTCACGCTGGGCGCCAGGGCGGACAGCTACTACGAGTACCTGCTGAAGCAGTGGATCCAGGGCGGGAAGCAGGACTCGCGGTGAGGCCGCCGCTGCCGCCCGTCCCCGCTCCCCCCGGGGCCCCTCGTGCGTGCGCCCAGGATGGGGGCCTGGCCGGCTGCTGAGCCTGCGGCTGAGCTGGGGTCCGGGTCCAGCTGCCGGGCCCCCTCCCGGCCAGAGTGGGGGCGGGGCAGCTCCACTCGTCCCTCCTGGGCCCCCCCCCCGCCTGCCGTGTCACTCTGGTGCTTAACACGACAGCTTCCCGGCGGGCGACGCAGCAGCCCCTCGCCCAGCATGGGAAACCCAGGGACACAGGCCCTCCCCGGGGGCCTGGCGCGGCCTGCCCACCGCCTCCCGTCCGGGGACAGTGTGACCGAGGCTGCGGGGTGGCTCCGGCGGCTCCGGCGGCTCCCAGGGCAGAGCCCTGGCCGTCGCCGTCGGCGCTGCGGGGCCTCTGGGGCGGCCGGAGGGACGGCCCCCTTCAGGGAGCAGAAGGCCCCACTCTGGCCCCACGGGCTGACAGCCCACAGGCCTCTGCCCCCCGGCTGGCTTGGGCCCCCCGACGGGGCCCGGCCGGAGCTGACGGCTGCTGCCCCCCAGGCTCCTGGACGACTACCTGGAAGCCATCGAGGGGATCAAGAGGCACCTGCTGCGCAGGTCTGAGCCGAGCAAGCTCACCTTCGTCGGGGAGCTCGCCCACGGCCGCTTCAGCGCCAAGATGGTGAGCACCGCGGGGCGCAGGCCCGGCCGGGGGCGCGACCTGCCCCTTGTCCTCGACGCCTGGGGCTCCTCGTCTAGACCAGGAGAGGCCAGTGACATGGTGGCCAAGGAGAGTGAGGTGTCCCGGGGGACATGGGCCGCAGGCTGGGGCCGCCCCCACCGTGGCACCTCTTCCTGCCGCTGGCGCTCGCGGCAGTTTGAGCGGGGAGTGGCCGGGTCACGCCTGCCCCTGGGACGTGCTGCTCTCCCACCAGCGCACGTCCCGCCCACGGGGAACCCCCGGCGCCGGGCCTGGGTGTCCCGCTCCTGTGTCCTGGAGGCCACAGGCACCTGGCGGCGGGGGGGGGGGGGCCGGGCAGCACCAGGCCCGTGGGGCCCCTGAGGCCACTGGCTTTGCGGTGGTGAGGAGACCCTTCGATTTCAGGACCACCTGGTGTGCTTCCTGCCAGGGACGCTGGCCCTGGGCGCCCACCATGGGCTGCCCGCCGACCACATGGAGCTGGCCCGGGCGCTCATGGACACCTGCTACCAGATGAACCGGCAGATGGAGACGGGGCTGAGCCCCGAGATCGCGCACTTCAACCTGCACGCCCAGAAGGGCCAGAAGGACGTACAGGTCAAGGTGAGCGGGCCAGGGCGGGGCTGGGTGTGGGTGCGGGGCGCGGTGGGGGCCTCACGCCGCCCCTGTGTCCCCAGCCGGCTGACAGGCACAACCTGCTGCGCCCCGAGACGGTGGAGAGTCTGTTCTACCTGTACCGCTTCACGGGGGAGCGCAAGTACCAGGACTGGGGCTGGGAGATCCTCCAGAACTTCAACACCTACACGCGGGTGAGCCGCTCGCCCCCCGTCCGCACCAGCCCCTCGCGGTCGCCCTCCCTGGGGGCTGTGGGGGAGGGGCAGGCTTGCTGTGGCTGCCGGGAGGACCTGTCCCTCCTTCAGGGTGACTCGGGGCCAGGGCGTCCCTCCGTCCTGTCTCAAGGGACCAGCCGGAGGGAGGGTCCCTGCTCAGAGCGTGTCTCTCCGGGGTCCTCCGTCTGGCCTGGGCAGCTCTGTTCCACCCAGGGCGGCCCCGGGGCCCCTGCTCCCCAGGACGCGCACCAACCCCGGTGCGCCCCACTGTCCTCAGGCAAGGCTGCCCTTCCAGCCGCTGGGGCCCTGGCTCAGAGAGGTCGCGCCCTGCCTAGGGCCCGCCACCTGCTGGGCAGAGCTGAGGCTTGGCCTGTGCCTGTGGCACCTAAGGCAGCAGGTTCCGGGGTCCTGAGGTGACCTCCGGAGGCCACGCTCGCCGTCGGTCACGTGGGGGCCTCTGGCAGGACCGCAGCTGGATCTCAGGGCGGCCGGCCCGTCGTGGGCCTCACTGCCCTCCAGCCCAGGCCCTGCTTGGCCACGCGGGCTGCGGCGCGGCAGGGGCTTTGGGGCGCCGCCGGCTGGTGGCCCTCTAGAGGGCCGCGCCTACAGCGCTGACGCCGCGGCCTGGGCTCTCCGCAGGTCCCCTCGGGCGGCTACTCCTCCATCAGCAACGTCCAGGACCCCCGCAACCCCCAGCCCCGGGACAAGATGGAGAGCTTTTTCCTGGGGGAGACGCTCAAGTACCTGTACCTGCTCTTCTCTGACGACCCCGAGCTGCTCAGCCTGGACACCTACGTGTTCAACACAGAGGCGCACCCCCTGCCCATCTGGGCTCCCGCCTAGGGTGGCGGCTCCGTGCAGCTGCGGCCCAGCGTCTGCCGCTGCCCGGGTGCCAGGGCGCCTGTCGGCGGGACCAGGCCCTGGACGGGCCGTGTAGGCTGTGCCCACCCTGCGGGCTGGACGTGCTCCGGACTCGCTGATGACAGGCCAGTAGGCACCTGGGCTGGGACGTCTCCGGGCTCTGAGGTGCTCGGGCGGCCGTGGGCGGCAGGCTCCCCGCCCTGGCTGTGGGGTCCTTGTCTGTGGTTCCGTGGGGACCCTGTTAGGCACAAGGAAGAAGAAGCCAGTGCTGGGGTTCAGGGGGACCCCATCCACCGAGGCCGCCCCCTCCTTCCTGAAAAACCACCAATCATGACCTACATTCCTGCAACCTGAACGTTCTGTTGGTCGATGCACAGGCTTCTTGGGGCTCCTGGGGCCCCTGTGAGTCCCCGGACCCCGTGTTGGGTTCAGAGGCCAGAGCCGAGAGGACACTGGGGTGCAGCTGCACCCTGAGGTCTCGGGGGCAATGCTGTGCCAGCCCAAGGCCCCGGGGGGAGATGTTTGCGGCCCCGCTGGGCCGGGGCTCCCGGCCGGCTGTGCCATTCACGTGGACTCAGGGATCCTCAGGGTCTGGCGGGCGGACGCCGAGGGCCTCCACTCCCGGGCCGCCTGGCGGAGCGGCCGTCCGTCGCGATAAAGCCGATTTGCTCTGACTGGTGTCCCTGTGTTTGTGCGGGAGCCTGCTTCCTGGCACCTGGCTGGGGTTGGGGGCAGGCGGCTGGTCGCCGCGCGCTGTCGGCCGAGGGCAGGCCCTGGCTCTCGCCCCTCTGCACGCTTCCCTGGGACGTGGGGGTGTCCCCTGCCCTCCTGCGGCCTCTGGCCCTTAGGACTGACCCGGGCAGTTCCCACAGAAAAGACAGGCGTGGGCCTTGGCCTGGGGTCCCCTGCCCCCGGGGCCAGAGCCCCTCATCACTTCAAGAAAAACCTGCTTCTCGAGCCACGGTCTGTCCGCGCACCAGGCGTGCCTGTGCGGGTCCGGGGTTCCGGGTGCGCTCCTCGCAGGTCCCCGCCCGCGCTCCCCCGCCCCCGCCCCGGCGGTGGCCCGGCTGCCGGCCCTGCATGTCTTGCACTTGGACAGGTGCAGGGCCGCCCTCCTGGGAGAGCACCCAGTGGGGGGGCGTGTGGGCGTGTGGGCCTCGCGTGTGCCGGGCAGCAGGACTGGGCAGTCCCCTCGTCTGCCTTGAGGTGGGGTCTGAGGCAGCCTCTCTGTCCTGCACTCGGGGCGCCCAGATGTAGACGGGGGGGGGGCGGGCGGGGGGCACAGAGCCACAGCCCCTTGTGGGGGCTCCCTGGGGAGCCGGCAGCAACAATAAAGACAGGAGAGGGGGGTGGGGGGGAGTTGCTTGGGGGCCTGGCTTGCGGTGTCGCGGTTTACTTGGCCACGTGAGAGTCGCCCCATCACCCCCAAACAGCAGACTCTGGGTTGAGGGTTTTTATTGACCAGGACTGACTGGGGAGGTGGGGCAATGCCTTCACAGGTCTGCGTGGGGCGGGGGGGCTGGGCCACCTCCTTCACCCTGGCCCTGCCCTGGGCCCAGGGGGTGCCCCTCAGTCCCCTCTGGTCCAGCTGGGGACGCGCCCCTCCGTTGTGGAGACACCGTGCTGTGCCCGCCGCAGCCGCAGCTCCTGCCTGGCCTCCTTGACCCACTGGCGGATGACCGTGGCCTCCAGCCGGCGCGCCTCCAGGACCGACGCGGGGTCCGCGGGGTGGGACGCTCTGCGGGCAGGGGGGTGGGATGCTCAGCGACGCGGTGTCCGTGGGCCCTGGCCGGGCGCAGCACCCCTCCCGGGGCAGGGCCGCACCTGAGGTCCAGGTGGTGCGCGCCCCCGCGGATGGTGACCGCGAGAATCGAAGCGCTCAGGTTCCGCCGGATCTGTGTCGGCCGGAGCGCCACCGTGTGTGAGGCGCCGGCTCCCGGCCGCCAGCCCCCAGCCTCCCACGCGGCCGGCTTGTCCCCGCCGTGGGGCGCCCCTCACACAGCAGCCCCCGGCAGCTACGGGGTCTTGACCGGGGCTGACAGGGGTGAGCCAGAGACCAGGTCCCGCCGAGTCAGGAAAAGAGCCAGGGGCGGAGGAGGAGGGAGGAGGCAAGACCCGGGTGTGGCCGCGGGCCCAGCTGACGCCGCGGCAGCCCGGCTCAGGGCGGTCACTGCCAGGCGGTCTCGCGACTCACCCCGCCCCCTGCCCAGGGGTCCAGGTCACCGTTGGAGAAGATGATGTTGCTGGCAGCCTGGAGGTCTGAAGGGAACAGAGCATGTGGCGGGGGCTGGGCAGGCCCCAAGCTCCGCGAGCCGGGGGCAGCTCGGCCCCCAGTGCTGCCCACTGCCCACAGTGATGCTCCCCGAGCCTCACCGGCCCCCCCAAAGCTGGTGCGCAGCCAGTCCCGCCGCGGCCACACGCCCCACGTGTCCAGGCAGTACTGCTGGCGGAGCTCCTCGGTGAAGGGCAGCTCGGGGAAGAGGTCTGTCACGTTGTTGCTGGAGAAGGCCAGGTCCATCTCGGTGCAGGCCTGGGGACCCCGCGCTGGGTCAGGTCTGGCGTCCCGCCCGGCGCCCCGTCCCGATCCCCGTCCCGGGCGCCCGTCCTGTACCTGGTAGTCCCAGGCCTTGGCGTTGGGGCCCGAGCCGCAGCCCGTGGGGTCCGCACAGGCCTGGTACTGCAGGTAGATGTCGTAGCAGGGCGCCGCGCCCGAGGCGTTGTACACCAGCCCTGGGGGCGAGGTGTGCTGAGGCCGCTGCCCGGGCGCCGCCTGCCCGCTCAGGGGGGTCCTGCGGCGGCGGGGCTCGGGGCGCTCGTGCCCAGGAGGAGGGGGCCCTGGGTCTGCGCGGGTGCCTCCTGCCCCCGCGCCGGGACCGCCCGCCGCCCCCCGGGAGCAGGGACCCCGGCTGGGCCCGAAGGAGACGGCCGCGTCCTGCCCAGAGGTGGCAGTGGGGGCGTCCCGGGCCTGAGGCCCCCAGGCCCCCACAGCCCGCCTGCCCGCACACCAGCGCCCAGCCCCGACTCTCGGCACCCAGCCCGGCGCTGAGGGGCGACGCACCTGCCAGCGCGCGGAGCCCCTCAATCCTCTGGCTCTCATTCAGCAGCCGGTCGCAGGCCACCTAGTTGGGGGGACGTCAGCGGAGCGCCTCAGCGGAGACGCCCCCTCGCAGCCTACAGCCCCCTCCCAGCTCGCCCTTCCCTGGTCCCGGGCCGCAGAGTGGTGCGCGGCCCTCAGGCCAGCCGGCGTTCACCGCCCCGGGCCGCCGGGCCCTTCCGCGTCCGCAGGAGCAGGCGCCTTGCCTGGACAGGGTGGGCAGGGAGGCGCCCCAGGAAGTCGGTGGGGTACGGGTAGTCCATCATGGCCAGCAGGGTGAAGGCGTTCCGCGCGAACCCGAAGAGCTGGGCCAGGTCCTTCCAGCCTGTGAGCGGCCGGCAGAGGCCGAACGCCTGGCTGACCGCGGCGTAGGCTGCCGGGAGGGGGCAGGACAGGGCCTTGGGAGGCTGCTGGCAGGCGAGGGTGGGCAGGGGTGCGAGGGGCGGGGGGCAGCCTCCTCACCTCCCTGCAGGAACAAGTCCTTGATCTGCCGGAAGGCGTCCCGCACGCCCTGGGCACACTTGGGACCCTGGCCCTCAAAAGTCTGGAGAAAGGAGCGGTTGTGGCTGCTGCGGGGGCCGGACCCCTGTCCCGGAGTCCCCAGGCCCCCTCCCTCCCTCCCTCACTCACCGCGGAGACGTCCCGGAAGAACTGGTAGGCGTCCCCAAGGCCAGCCACGGACACCACAGGCGCGCTGGCGGCCAGCGCGCCCGCCACCAGGTGGGGGTACTTCATTCTCATGTAAGCACTGAGCATCCCCCCGTAGCTGTTTGGGACACAGGGTCAAGGCTGTGGCCTGCCCCCAGCCCCGCGCAGCCAGCCGGACTCCGGCGGCAGCCTCCCAGCCACCGGTGGGTGGGGCGCTGAGCCCCAGCACTGCCCCCTTCTCCTCCTCAGCCCCATCCCCGCCCCGCACCCCAAGAAGAGCCTGCAATGTCTAAGACCCACGGAAGTGTCAGCCCTGGGGCTGGGTGCCCATCCGTCCCCAGGAGAGAAAAGAGCCGGCGAGGACCCACCTCCCGCCGAAGGCGATGGCCGGGGCGTCCTGGGCCCCAAGGTCGCGCCGCAGGGCCTGGAGCAGCCTGGCGAAGTCGGCCAGCGCCTGCTCCACCGTCAGGAGCTCCAAGTGGCCGCGCTGTGTGGACTGCGCGCCGAACGGGAGTGACTTCCCATAGTACCTCTGGGGGCGGCAGGGGACCGTGACCTTGCCTCCGGCCGCCCCGGCGCCGCCCGCCCCCACCCCCGCAGCCACCGGCCCCCCAGCCCGGTACCCACGTGCTCCGCGAAGATGACCAAGGCCCCCTCCTGCGCCGCCAGCTCCAGGATGAACCCCGAGTTGTTGGCGAAGGCCCACACGTCTGCCTCGTTGCCCGTGTAGAAGAACAGGGGCCCCTTGCCCCTTTCCCAGAACTTGTCTGTGGGGGGCCAGCCAGGAGGGTTGGTGTGAGGCGTGCGGCGGGCCTCCCGGGGCGGGGGGTCCCCAGGGGACCTCACCTGACACCAGGAACCGCTGTGGGAACGTCTTGTTGCCAAACCTCTCAAAGTTGAAATGGTCCAGAAACTGCTCAAAGTAGTGCTCCCGGAAGTCGGGGTCCAGGGCTCTGTGGGCTGGAAAGCACGGTGCTCAGCGGGCGAGGCGCCCCGCGGCGGGGGCAGGGCCCGCGGGTCCCCACTTACCGCTGGCCCGCAGGCCGTGCAGCCCCAGCGCCAGCAGCAGGGCCAGGGCCCCAGGCGGAGCCCGCAGGGACGGGGAGCCCATGTCTGCTTGGCCGGCGAGCCCGCAGTCACATGACTGGCGGGGACACCCTCACTGGATGCCTGGGCGGGGCTACGCGGCTCCAGTGCCTTCCGTCCCATCCTCAAGCTTCCTGGCAGCCACTGTCACCATGGAGATGGTCGCCGTGGGGACACGTGAAGAAGGCGGAGGTTTCGAGGGCTGGCAATGGGACAGGGGACCTGTCTTCCCGCGGCTGCTGTGGAGGGCCTGGCCTGCCCCGCCCCTCCCCCACGCCTCCCCGCCGGCCCCCCCGGCCCGCCCTCCTTGCTCCAGCGGGGCCAGGTGGGCGCCTCCCCAGCACACACCTGGGTGAGCGGTGGCCGGACCCTGCCCCACGGAGCTGCCCCGCCAGGCCCCGCGGGCGGGCCCCGGGGGAGGGGCGGGGAAGGCCCCAGGGGAGGGCCAGAACCCTCCAAAGATGGGGGGGTCCCGGGCTGAGGGCGGCAGCCCTGAGACAGGAACCCGTCTGGGCGGCAGCCGGGCGCTTGGCTGTGGGGCAGGGCCCGGGAGGGGGCCGGGCAGCGGAAGGGGAACCGCTGGAAGCGGGGGCGGGGGGTTGGGGGGGCGCTCCCCGCCCCCAGGCGGGTCGTTCCCTGGCTCCTCAGGGGCACGGCCGCCCAGGAGGTGCCAGCGCCCAGGGGACAGAGGCCACCTCCTCCCGCCCCAGCGCCCCGTCCAGGGCCTGGGTGAGCGGCCGGCCCGCAGAGTCCCCGGGGGCCGCAGCCCCTCCGCCCGAGGGCCCGGCTGGGCGGGGCGGGGCGGGGCTGCCCCTCCCACGGCCCCAGGCCGTCACTGGGGCGACCAGCGTGGTGACAATGGCTGTGCCTCTGTCACACCAGCCCACGGGCGTGGCCGCCCCGTGGCCACCGGCGCCAGACCGCGGCTGCCCCACAGCCCCTGCTCCTGCGGCCCTGCCCCCATGTCTTCCTCTCCCCCCTGCCCCTGCGTCCCCACGTCCCTGTGCCCCTGCGTCCCCGTCCCGGTGGCCCCGTGTCCCCCATGCCCCCGCGTCCCTGTCCCCGTGTCTTCACCCCTGTGTCCCTGCGCCCCGACGCCCCTGTGCCCCTGCCCCTGCGTCTCGGTCCCCGTGGCCCCGTGCCCCCGCGTCTCCGTCCCCGTGTGCCCCCCGCTGTGCTCTCGCCCCTGCGTCTCCCTGACCCCGTGCCCCTGCCCCTGCGTCTCCGTCCCCGTGGCCCCGTGCCCCCCGTGCCATGTCCCCGTGGCTGCGTGCCCGCCCCTGTGTCCCCGCCCCTGCGCCCCCTTGTCCCCGTGCCCCCGTCCCCGTGTGCCCCTCCCCCCCTCCTCGCCTCTCTGTGTCTCCAAGTGCCCCCGGATCCCCGTGTCCCTGTTCCTCTGTCCCCGTAACTGCACCCAGGGCTGCGTGTCCTGCGCCAAGTAGAGGGCGCCCTCCAGGCCCCCAGGCCCCTGCGGGGGGGGCCAGGCCCAGAGACCAGGACTCGCCGCTGCGGCCCCGCTGCGCCCAGCCCGGGGGACGGACCCCACGCCGCCACTGCACATCCACCGGACGTCCCCTCCGGGGCCCCGGTGGCCTCCTTCAGGCCGCGCCTGGTGGCCCAGCAGGTACGATACGTCTGTGGGTCCGGGACCCGCCCCCGGCTGCCTGGGAAGCGTGTGCGCTCGGCCCTGGTTCTTCCACTGAAGAGATTTTGTCTCTTCCAGGCCCCTGGCAACGCCTCGTAAAGGCAGCGGTCGACTGTCCCGCTTGCGCGAAAAATGCGGCGGGAGCGTGGATGGGGGCTGCCCTGAACCCGTGGGTCACTTTGGGGAGCGTTGGCGCCTTAAAATGGAGCCTCCCAGCCTCGGGCAGAGGCTGTCTTTCCCCTTTCCTCTTACGGCGGTTTCCAGTTGTCGGCGTACAAGCACATCACCCCCTGGGTTAAATTTATTCCTACGTATTTTAATCTCTCTCATTTTTTTTAAGATTTTATTTTTAGAGAGAGGGGGAGGGAGGGAGAAAGAGAGGGAGAGACACATCCGTGTGTGGTTGCCTCTCATGCGCCCCCCGCTGGGGACTGGCCCACAGCTCAGGCCTGGGCCCCGGCGGGGGATCGAACCGGAGACCCTCTGGTTCGCAGGCCGGCGCTCCGTCCACGGAGCCGCACCCGCTGGGGGTGGGAGGCTGCTTGTTTCTGCACCCATGTCTTCGTTTGTTATAGGTCTTTTGAAATTTTCTATATGTTCTTGAGTTATTTTAGGTGATTCTGCTTTTCTGAGAATGTATCCGCCTTACCAAGATTATCAAATTTGTTGGCAACTGAATGGTATTCTCTCATAACCCTTTTCACTTTTTGTTCGAGTTACCTGTGTCTTTCTTTTCCCTGCTCTTCATCAGTGGAGCCAAAGGTTTATCGGTTTGTTCGTGTTTTCGGACGCCGGCTTCTGGTCCAGCCGGTCGCCCCGGCTCTGTCCGGTCCCACAGCCCCCGCCGTCTGGGGCCGCCTGGGCTCGCTGCTCTTCACCCCGGTTCCTCCCCGCTGCGCACACACAGCAACTGGGTGTGTCCGCAGACGTGGGAGTCTCGGGGCCACTGGGCTGACCTTGTCCTCTGGGCGGGTCGGAGCCCGCATTGTGGGGGGCACTGTGTCTGAAGCGGCACACTCACATGCCTGTCCACACGCCCGCCCCGTCAGGACCCCCAGGCCCGGCCCCGCAGGGCGCAGGCAGGGCCTTACCTGCTTGGTTCAGAATCCTGGGGGCCTGCGAGGGGGCCTTGGTGGGGGCCTCTGCCCTTCTGGAAGGGAGCTCAGTGCCCTGCTCCGCCTCGATCACTGCTCCCCGCCAGCTTCAGGGAGACAGGGGCCGTCAGCCGCGCAGGGGCCGGGGCCGGGGCCGGGGCCGGGCCGGGCCCAGCCCCCTCCACGCCAGGCCGCCGGGAGCCAGGCCCTCGGCCACGCCCCGGGCCGCGCTCCGCGCGGGGCAGGCTGCCCGCTTCTGGAGGAGGACGGACGTCAGCCACGCGCTGCTTCCCCTTCCCTCTTTTTCAGACACGAGACGCTGCGCGCAGCAGCCCCTGCGTTTCCGGGCGTTCCGCCCCGTCTGCGGCTCCCGTACCTGAATCCGGGCGCGCCCCGCCCGCCGCAGCCGCCTCCCGCCTCCCGGCGCCGCCCTGCCTCCCGGCCTGCAAGTCTCTGCTGGGGGCTCTGATCTGCAGGTTGGGGGGTCCCCGCCGGACGTGCCTCTGAGGCTTCTGGACAAACAGAAGAGTCACTCGTGAGGAGAAACCAGCTGCCCACACGCTGCCGTTCTGCTCCTGTCTGGGACGGTCTCCCCATCAGACCAGCGCCCGGACGGCTGCGCTCGGGCCAAATAATTTTTGTTCCCACTGTGATGGGCAGATTCGGGGGAGCCCCTTCCATGCAACCTCCTGGGCCTGGCCAGCCCCGGTGGAGGCTCTGCCCAAGGGCTCGGGACTTCTCGTGGCTGTCACAGGCCCTTCGGGGGCCGCAGCAGATGGACGTTGCCGGCCGGCCGGGGCCTCCCGCCTCGCCCCCCGCCCTGCGGGAGGGGCGCCAGGCCAGCGGCTGAGTGCAGGGGCGCAGGCCTGGGCTGAGGGCCGGCTGGTCCCAGATCTTGCTGCCAATCCTTCCGGGGGGCGGGTGGCCAACCCCACCTTTGAGGACAGAGGGGAGGCCCACGTGTGACTTATTGTCTCAGCTTTTCAATATACTTCCACGTGAGCCTTGAAGTCAGTCTCGTGGCAAAGACTTGGGGGAGTCGGAGCGGGGTCTCCGACCCAGAGAACTGGAGACGAAGCGCCGGCGTCGCTGAAGCACGTCTTGGGCACGGGGCTGCGGCCCGCGGGGCCGAGTGACAGAGGGGTCCCCGGCCCCCGGAAGGCCGTCCTCTCCGCGGTCTCGTCCTGACGGCCCGGGGCACGGAGCCCCTACCTCCCAGGCCCCTCCCGGACGCCAGCGACCAGGCTGCAGATGTCCTGAGCGTGGGGACGCGGCTCGGGGGGGACGCTTGCTGCCGTCAGCTTTTGCAGTTTGACGGCCACGGCGACAGGCGGCCGAGGGCCCTCACGACAGTGCCCGTCCGCCTCAACAGGGTGGGGGCCCTGCGCAGACGCTGAGGGGCGAGGCGGCGGCAGGGTGTGGGGGCCGTGCCCGCCTCCCTTCCCCCGCCCAGCGGGTGGCGGAGGGCGTCCCGGGCGCGCAGTTGGGTCTTCCCTTGGAGGCCGTGCCCCCGGACCCCCGACCCCAGGGACCCGCTCCTGGTCCTCCCGCTGCCTCCTGAGTGCCCCCCCGCCTGCTCCCCAGGCTGACTGTAAGGTGCTCCCAGCGCCAGGCCCGGCCCCTGCTCCGCCCTTTCTAGAGGATGGCACACACCGCACTGGGGCCCGGCTCCAGGCTCTGATGCTGAGCCCCGAGCCCATGCCTGGGAGGCCCTGGGGCACCTGCACGGGGCAGGACCGGAAGGCAGGGCCGCCTTGGCCCCGAACCGTTCCCTCCCCCCGCCGCCCCTGCTCACCGTCTCAAAGGCCTTGCAGGGGCACCAGAATCAGCCCCTGGGTCCCCGGACTAGCGCCCTGTGGCCGCCAAGCCAGCCACCCCCAGCTCCGTGTCTAGAACGATGGTGTCCTCGGCCCCCCGCGGCTTCTGAGGCCAGGAGCTCCCGAGCAGTTTGTCAGGGCGGTTCAGCCTCGGACTCTCTCCTGAGGCGACAGCTGAGACGTCAGCCAGGGCTCGGCCAAGGCTGGATGGCCTTGGAGTCGCAGGCGGCGTCCCCGACGGCCGCTGAGGAGATCCTCTCCCTGTGGCCGCTCCCGGGGCTGGAGGAGGCCCCCCGACGTGGCGCTGGAGGCCAGGCAGGCGGCCCCCCGAGGACCAGCGCCGGGGCCGCTGTTCGTGCATGGCCAGGCCTCGGAAGCGTCACAGGCCTCCGCCCCGCCTCTGGTCAGTAGAGGAGCCCCCGCGTGCAGGCCGCGTCCGAGGGCAGGGCCGGGCTCCGGCCGGAAGAGAGCGAGTCGGACGGC